TTATCTCTCCTCTGGCAAGGGCAGTAGTAATCTACCCATTTGGCAAAACTCCTGACTACAATACACTATTAACTATAATCCAACACATAGAGCTTTCAGTTTTTTAATCCTATGCATTTGCTACTATGTATCCTTTGGTCTATGTCACCCCATTTCCTCCCATCCCCACTCCAATTCTGGTAACCACTGTTTTATTTTCTGTCTCCTCAATTTGGCCTTTTGGTTTTTTTTAGATTTCACATACAAGTGAGATCATGTGATATTTTTCCTTCTATGCATGGCATACTTCACTTAGCATAATGTCCTCTGGGGCCAACCATATTGTGGCAAATAGCAGGATCTCCTCCTTTTTTAAGGCTGAATAATATTCCACTGTATATACAGTTATGCATCACTTAATGATGGGGTTGTGTTATGGGAAATGTGTTGTTAGGCAATTTTTTGTTGTGTGAACATCATAGGGTATACTTCCACAAACGTAGATGGGATAACCTGCTACACACCTAGACTATATGGCGTAGTCTATTGCTGCTAGGCTACAAACCTGTGCAGCATGTGACTATTCTGAATACTGTAGGCAGTCAGAACACAATGGTGAATATTTGTGTATCTAAACATAGAAAAGGTACAGTAAAGATATGGTATTATAATCTTATGAGACCATGGTCGTATATGTGGTCCATCATTTACTGGAATATTGTTATGCAGCACATGACTATATATACCAGAGTTTCTTTCATTTGTCCACTGATGGGCACCTTGGTTGTTTCCATATCTTGGCTACTGTGAGTAATACTGCAATGGACATGGGAGTCTAGATATCTTTTCAAGGTGGCGATTCTGTTCCTTTGGGTATATACCCAGAAGAGAATCCCTGGGTCATAGTAATTTCATTTTTAATTTTTTTAGGAGCCTCCATACTGTTTTCTACAATGGCTATACTAATCTACCTTCCTATGAATAGTGTACAGGATTCCCTTTTCTTCACACCCTTGCCATGACCTTATTATCTCCTGTCTTTTTGATAATAGCCCTTCTAGCAGGTATGGGGTGATAGCTCATTGTGGTTTTGATTTGCATTTCCCTGATGATGAATGATGTTGAGCACCTTTTCATATACTTGTTGGCCATTTTTGTGTCCTTTTTTTTTTTTTTTCTTGAGACAGAGTCTCGCTCTATCGCCCAGGCTGGAGTGCAATGGCATGATCTTGACTCACTGCAAGCTCTGCCTCCTGGGTTCACGCCATTCTCCTGCCTCAGCCTCCCGAGTAGCTAGGACTACAGGTGCCCACCACCACACCTGGCTAATTTTTTCTATTTTTTAGTAGAGACGGGGTTTCACCATGTTAGCCAGGATGGTTTCGATCTCCTGACCTCGTGATCCGCCCGCCTCAGCCTCCCAAGGTGCTGGGATTACAGGAGTGAGCCACCGCACCCGGCCGTCTTTTTTTTTTTTTTTAAAGACAACAAGTGTATTAGAGCAACAGCGTGCAACAGAATGCCTGCTCCATAGACAGAGCAGGGCTGTCCCATAGGCAGAGTGGCCCAGAGTACCCCATGTCTTTTTTGGATAAATGTCAATTGAGGTCCTTTGCCCCTGCTTTTTTTTTTTTTTTTTTTTTTTTTTTGAGATGGGGTCTCACTATTTTGCCCAGGTGGGTCTTGAACTCCTGCTCTGCCTATTTTATTATTTTTAGTTTGCTAAATGCCCTGTTTATTCTGCAAACAAGGCTTAGAAATGTGCAGACACAAGTTGTAGGTTGAGAAATCTCTGTGTAGTTGTGACTTCACGACTATACTTCGGTAAAAGCAGTTATGATGGTGGCTTCTGAACATATTAACCTACCATTGTTTTGTCCAGAGCGAACAGTGAAAATGGATTCCTAATGGCCTGTTTCTCTAAGTGATCATCACATTTCACTGCTCTAGTCTTTAAGAACGAGTAGAGCCTTCACTTAAGCTGCCATCTCCTTGCCACTCAGGGCTTCAACAATTGTAAGCACAAACTCAAAGCTGGTCCCAGGCCCTCGGCTTGTAAGAATTTCAGGCTGTCCTTTTCCACACGATTCTCAGAGGAGGTGTAGTGACCTCCATTCATCATTTTGTCCTTAGCAAGCGGGAGTGTTGTAACTTTACTTCCAAAACTTATTTCATGAGCCATCAGAGCAGTAGGACCTGTACAGATGGCGGCTATAAGGTACTTCTGGTTTTCCTGTTCCTTTAGTATCTCCTTCACAGCAGCAGACTCAATTAAATTCTGTGCACCCAGATTACCTCCTAGTAGAACCACTATGTCATATGGTCCCCCTTTTTTGCATCTTCAAGACTGGTATCAGGGCAAATGACAACATCATGGCTACACTGTACTGGGTCTTTTCCAGCCAGACCCGCAATGGTGACCTTAATCCCAGCTCACCTCATGACATCTACAGGATGACCGTCTCCATTTCCTCTGCTTCTTCAGCCAAAAACTCAAAATAATAATGATTTAAAAATCAGGAGCCGGGCGCGGTGGCTCGCGCCTGTAATCCCAGCACTTTGGGAGGCCGAGGAGGGCGAATCATGAGGTCAGGAGATCAAGACCAGCCTGGCTAACACGGTGAAACCCCGTCTCTATTAAAAATACAAAAAAATTAGCCGGGCGTGGTGGCAAGTGTCTGTAGTCCCAGCTACTCAGGAGGCTGAGGCAGGAGAGTGGTGTGAACCCAGGAGGCGGAGCTTGCAGTGAGCCGAGATCATGCCACTGCACTCCAGCCTGGGCAACAGAGTGAGACTCCATCTCAAAAAATAAAATAAAATAAAAATAAATCAGGTTATGTTTTCATGTATTGAGTTATAGAACTATTTTATACTAAGACTTTATAATGTGAATTTTCCTAACAATAATGTGAGCATATTTTCATGTGCTTATTTGTCATCTCCTTTGGTAAAGCGTATTATTGGGTTGTAAAGTTCATCCTATATTTGATACCTATGTCAAATATTTGCATACCTATATCTGGTATGCAAGTTCTACACCAGATCTGTATTTCATGGATATTATCTTTCAGTCTGCGGCATTCCTTTTTTTTTTTTTTTTTTTTGAGACAGTCTTGCTGTGTTGCCCCCGCTGGAGTGCAGTGGTGCCATCTTGGCTCACTGCAACCTCCACCTCCCGGGTTCAGGCAATTCTCGTGCCACACCCTCCTGAGTAGCTGGGATTACAGGCACCCGCCACCATGCCTGGCTACTTTTTGTATTTTTAGTAGAGACAGGGTTTCGCCATGTTGGCCAGGCTGGTGTCTAACTCCTGACCTCAAGTGATCTGCCTGCCTTGGCCTCCCAAAGTGCTTGGGAGTCTTGCTCTGTCGCCCAGGCTGGAATGCAGTGGCGTGATCTTAGCTCACTGAAACGTCCGCCTCCTGGGTTCAAGCGATTCTCTCGCCTCAGCCTCCCAAGTAGCTGGGATTACAGGCATGTGCCACCACACACGGCTAATTTTTGTATTTTTAGTAGAGATGGGGTTTCACCATGTTGGCCAGGCTGGTCTCGAACTCCTGAGCTCTGGTGATCTGCCCGCCTTGGCCTCCCAAAATGCTGGGATTACAGGTGTAAGCCACCATGCCTGGCCTATGTAAGATATTTTGAGAGCAAGAGAGACCAACCACATTCACATAACTTTTATTACAGTATATTGTTAACATTGTTCTATTTTGTTATTAATCTCTTACTCTGCCTAATTTAAATATTAAACTTTATCATAGTTAAGCATATATAGGAAAACCGTGTATAAAGGGTTTGGTACTGAGGTTTCAGGCATCCACCAGGGTTCTTGAAATGCATCCCCCGAGGATAAGGGGGAACTACTGTATGCAAAACCCAAAGCTATACAACAATGAGAAACATTAAAAGGGAAATTCAGGTGTAAGTGAAGACATTCCTCTGAATTCCCAGGTTTCTCTGAGCATCAAAACCCACCAATCTTTCAGTCCTTTTCTTGAATATTATTCTGTATCCACATTCTCTGCATCTGATTGGATCCCTGGATTTTATTTCATTTTCTGCATGACATTCTCCACAGATATATATCATTAGCTGCTGCTTTGGGGGTTGAATGTCCTGGATGTCATTGTGAGCTCCTTTTTACTCTGAGTGTCTTTCTAGTTTTCGTCCAAGTACCCACCACAAACTCCACAACCCACCAATTTCCTACCTACCCAGCAATGAGAAATGGCATCTTAATATTTATTCTTTCAATTAATGAGCATGCTGTATCTCTCCAGTTACGTCTATTTATTTCAGTTTTATAGGTTTATTATTCAAATATTCTGAAGCTCTGTAACTAGGTGCATACACATTTAAGATTGTTTATGTACTCTTGAAAATTTGACCTTTACTATTTATTTTAATAGAGATGAGGTCTCACTATGTTGCCCAGGCTGGTCTCCAAATCTTGCCCTCAAGCGATCCTGCCACCTTGACCTCCCAAAGTGTTGGGGTTACAGCATGAATCACCCTACCTGGCCCAAAATTTGGACTTTTATCCTTATGAAATGGCCCTCTTTGTTTCTTTTCTTTTCTTTTTTCTTTTTTTTTTTGAGATGTAGTCTCGCTCTGTCACCCAGGCAATGCAGTGGCGCCATCTTGGTTGGCTCACTGCAAATTCCACCTCTCAGGTTCAAGGGATTCTTGTGCCTCAGCCTCCCGAGTAGCTGGGATTACAGGCGCCTGCCACCACACCTGGCTGATTTTTATATTTTTAGTAGAGATGGGGTTCGCCATGTTGGCCAGGCTGGTCTCCAATTCTTGACCTCAGGGGATCCACCCACCTGGGCCTCCCAAAGTGCTGGGATTACAGGCATGAGCCACCCACATCCAGCCCTTTGTTTCTAATTATATTCCTTGCTCGTCAGTGTACAACAATATTGATATAGTCACTGCAGCTTTTTAAATACTTTTTACTATTTGCATGGTGTACCTTCTTCCACTCTTTCACTGTTAACCTATGTCTATATATTATTTATTTATTGGAACGCTTCATGAATTTGTGTGTCATCCTCGCACCGAGGCCACGCGAGTAGTCTTCTCTGTATTATTCTAATTTTAGTATATGTGCTACCGAAGTGAGCACCGTGTCTCTATATTTAAATTGGGTTTTAAATTGATATTTTATAGTTGGGTCTTGCTTTTTTATGCAATCTGTCAATCTTTGCCTTTTATTTGGTGGTTTTAGGCTATTTATATTTGATGTGATTATCAACACAGTTGGGTTTAAATATATAATTTGCTCTTCATTTCTATTTGTCTCATCTGTCCTTTGTTTTTTTTTCCCCTCTTTTCCTGCCTTCTTGTGGAGTAATTGAGCTTTTCAAGTAAATTCATCTTATCTCCACTCCTGACATATTACATATTAGCCATACCTCTTTGTTTTGTTATTTTTGTTATTTTTTATTTTTATGTTTTGAGACAGAGTCTCACTCTCTCTCCCAGGCTGCAGTGCAGTGGTGTGATCTCGGCTCACCGTAACTCTGCCTCCTGGTTCCAAGCGATTCTCATGCCTCAATCTCCTGAGTAGCTGGAATTACAGGTGCCTGCCACAGTGCCCAGCTAATTTTTTTTGTATTTTTAGTAGACACAGGGTTTTGCCATGTTGGCCAGGCTGGTCTCGAACTCCTGGCCTCATGTGATCCACCCACCTCAGCCTCCTAAGGTGCTGGGATTACAGGCGTGAGCCACCATGCCCAGCCTGTCTTGTTATTTTGTTTTTATTATTATTATTTTTTTGAAACAGAGTCTCACTCTGTTGCCCAGGCTAGAGTGCAGTGGCATGATCTCAGCTCACTGCAACCTCCGCCTCCCAGGTTCAAGCGATTCTCCTGCCTCAGCCTCCTGAGTGTCAGAAATTACAGGTGTGCACCACCACACCTGGCTAATTTTTGTATTATTAGTAGAGACTGGATTTCACCATGTTGGTCAGGCTGGTCTTGAACTCCTGACCATGTGATCTGCCCACCTCAGCCTCCCAAAGTGCTGGGATTACAGGCGTGAGCCACTGTGCTCTAGGGTTTACAATATAAATCTTTAACTTATCATAGTCTACTTTCAAATAATATTATTTCATGTGTAAGAACCTTACAAGAGTATACATCTATTTCTTCCCTCCTGGCCTTTGTCCTACTGTTGTCATACATTTTGCCCCTATGTAACTTATAAATTCCCTAATATAGTTGGCCCTCTGTATCTATGGGTTCTGCATCTGTGGATTCAACCAACCACAGATCAAAAAGATTTGGAGAAAAAAATGGATGGATGTGTCTGTGCTGAACACAAACAGACTTTTTTTCTTGTTATTCCCTAAACATTTTAAAGATAGCATTTATATTGTATTAGGTATTATAAGTAATCTGGAGATAATTTAATATATACAGGAGGATGTGGGTGGGTGAAATGCAAACACTGCACCATTTTATATAAGTATGTGAGCATCCACAGATTTTGGTGCCTTTGAGGAGTCCTGGAGCCAATACTCCATGGATAGCAAGGGACAACAGTACATTGTTATTACTTTTCCCTTAAGCAAAGGGAAAAGAATAATCTATTTACCCCCACACTTACCATTTCCAGTGCTCTTTACTCTTTTGTGTAGATCCAAATGTATTTTGAGTATCATTTTCCTTCTGCTTCAAGGATTCCTTTAGCATTTCTCACACTGCTCATCTGCTGGTGATGAGTCCTCTCAGCTTTGGTGTCTGAAAAGGTTTATTCAGTTTTCAGTTTTGAAAGATGTTTTTGCTGGATGTAGAATTCCAGTTGGGCAGTTTTTTCTTTCAGTATTTTACAGATGTGAACACAAACTCTTCCCAGGGATATATGAACTCTGAGGATGGTTTTGTCTGTTCTTGCCCAGTGATTCTTCCCCTAGCCTTGGTAGTTGCCTCACAGGCGTGCACAGAGACTTAATGGGACACCTCTGCAGAGCTTTGGAGATTTCTTGCCATGTGGTTTCCTCCTCTCTAGTACTCTAGTTTTCAAATTCTAGTCATCTTGGCTTCCTTGATCCCCAAATGCTGTCTCCTCATCTCAGCAAGGCTGCTGGCCTGTGTTTGGGTTCCCTGCCTTGTGCTGGGGCCTGGACATTCTCATTTGTTTCATTCCTTTTGGGGATCATTGACCTGCAATGCCTGTTGTCTGAAAGGGTATATATCATTTTTTCATATATTTTGTTTGGCCTACTAGTTGTTTACAGGAGAATAGTAAACTAGTCCTTGTTATTCCTTTATCACTAGTTTATCTCCTTAAATAAAATCCCATACTATTAAGACCCATTTTAAATGTTAAAAGTTCCAAGAATTCCTATATACTTAGTTTTACTTTTTATTTATTCAATTTTTGTACAATTTTGAGTATGTACTTACACTCTTGGGCTCCTGGCAAAAAATCCATTGCCCCTCAGGGGACCATGCCCTATGGGTTAGGAAACATTGGTTTAGGCCAACAGAACCTAAACCATTGGTTTAGGCCAACTCACTCTCTTAATCTCTGCACTTGGAGCCTATCCTCATCTTTTCCATGTCCTTGCTGAGACCTCACATTTTTCCTCTGAAAACTAACACTAGCAGAAACCTTACTCTTTCACCCCCTCCCCACCACCCCACTTTACGTTGGCAGAATTCAGTAAAGTAACCATCTAAAATGTATAGACCTGGTTTTAACATTCATACATCAAGTACAACCCAAATAAATCCCAAGATGTTATGTGATCTTGTTATGCCATTGTATCCATTGTATCCCATTCAGAGATATAATGCTCACTCCTTACCCAAAAATAATAATAAAAAAGTAAACCCAACCTTTTTTTTTTTTTTTTTTTTGAGACAGAGTCTTGCTCTATCGCCCAGGCTGGAGTGCAGTGGTCTGATCTTGGCTCACTGCAAGCTCCACCTCCCAGATTCACGCCATTCTCCTGCCTCAGCCTCCCGAGTAGCTGGGGCTACAGGCGCCCGCCACCACGCCCTGCTAATTTTTTTGTATTTTTAGTAGAGACGGGGTTTCACCGGGTTAGCCAGGATGGTTTCGATCTCCTGACCTTGTGATCCACCCGCCTCGGCCTCCCAAAGTGCTGGGATTACAGGCGTGAGCCACCGCGCCCGGCCAATCCCAATCTTTAATTGGGTCACTCATAATCACTAAAGTGGGTCCAGCTTATAATTCACAATAATGAAATTTTCTTTTATTTTTTCCTCTCCTCTCCCATTCTCTCACATCCAGAAAACCTCTTTAAATTCCAACACACTGTCTCTGACACCCAAACTTCCTTTTCTCTTTGTCTAGATAAATGATTACTAATCTATGGGCCATACACCACTGAGGGATAATGGAACCATGTGTATACCAATAATTGTCTATATACTGAATTACTAAAAAAAGGAAAACTTATATTGGAATCCTTGAAACTTCTGATATTTAAAATAAATGCAAAATAATATAGAATTAAAAAAAAAAAAAAAGGCCAAAGAGATAATAGCTAAACCTTGGGAATAATGGAATAAAAGACTCCTATATTCTCCTCTTTTGACTTTTTTTTTTTTTTTTTTTTTTTTTGAGATGGAGTCTCGCTCTGCTGCCAGGCTGGAGTGCAGTGGCGCGATCTTGGCTCACTGCAACCTCCGTTTCCCGGGTTCAAGCAATTTTCCTGCCTCAGCCTCCCGAGTAGCTGGGACTACAGATGCGCGCCACCACACCCAGCTAATTTTTGTATTTTTAGTAGAGACAGGGTTTCACCATGTTGGCCAGGATGGTCTGAATCTCTTGACCTTGTGATCTGCCTGACTTGGCTTCCCAAAGTGCTGGGATTATAGGGGTGAGCCACCGTGCCCGGCCTTGACTCTTTATTATAGATACATAGATATAGGTACAGATAAAGATTTAACTCCTTTGTCTTCTGTTAATTTTTTTTCACTTATGTTTTGCCTGTTTCTAGATTCTCTACAACAGATGTAAAACAGGAACTAACCCAGCAAATTAGAATTCATACCCTTTGGGACTATTAATAATTTTGTCCCCATTATACAAGTATTGAGTTTATATCCATATTCATCTTTCATATGGCAAGAATAGCTCTCTGCACCACCCATGAGTATGGGATCTTTCCCTGCCAGACACCTTCATTTGCAACACTGGCTTTGGGATGAGCAGCCCTCAGCTCTAGACCTGAGGCTCAGGCTGCCAGGGGCAGAAAAGCAGCAAGTGCCGACGTGGTCCCTAGGGGCAGCTTGGAGGGACTGGAGGATCCCACAGTTGTGAGTCAGAGCCAGCTGGGACCTGCCCCAGGGTTGGGTCAGGAGGTACCACCTGCCCCGAGTCTTGAGCGGCAGTGGCCTGAGTCTAGGGGAGGCAGCATGCTGAGGCATTGGTATGAGGGCTGGCATCAAGCAGCTAGAAGAGCCTTGGCCATGGAGGTTTCGTATCACCTTATACAAGTCCAGATAATCTCCTAGAGGCATCTTGACTTGCTGTTTGTTTTGGGATTGGGAAGGAAAGGGACATGACAATTCTTTGAGTGGCTGTGAAGGTTCCCCCAGCTTCTCAACCCGTGCCGGGGCTGGGGCTGGACAAAAAGATACCTAGTGCAGTCCAGGCACAACCTGGCCCTCTGCTGTGAACCCTGCCTGGAGCTGCTCTAGTTCCAGCTGCTCTGGTTTTATTTTCTTCCTTGCTGTTTTGCCCATTATCCAGCTTCCTCACAACAAAGGAGAAACAGGAACTGACATAGCAAAAAAGAATTCAAGGAGTTTCCAGCAAAGGTCTGATACCTTGTGGTCCCAGGGTTTCTAACTGAAGGGATTCCCTCGACCTTACCCTCTCCACTCAGCCCTGAGTCCAGCAGGGGCACAGACAGGCAGGCAAAGCCTCCTCCCAACCTAGAGAGGAGATAACTTCCTGTTTCCCTGATGCCTCTCTGCTGGTTCCTCTAGCTCCAGCTGGAGTGGAACGTTCACCTGAACATCCCTGAGGTCACCTCACCAAAGCCGAAGAAATGCAAGTTGCCTGCAGCCTCACCCCGGCACATCCACCCCAGTGGCCCCACCTATAAGCAGCCCTTTCAGTCCAGGCACCGGGAATGTGCGCCCC